CGCTCAGCCGGACAGGCGTCGCAATGTCCAGGAGTCGTATGGGGGGTTGAACGATATTTTCCGGTTTTCAAGCTGGACCCGGGAGCTCTGCGAGGATCAGCTCCCAAAAACTTGTCGAAGCATTATAAAAAATGAATCTGCATACAAGTAGCGAGGTCTGCACGGAACCACGACTCCCGGCCGAATCGCTGAGTTCGAAGGAAAACGTCCTGCGGTCGGACGGAGAAAAATGAATTTTCATGAACGAACGTCATCCTGCCGCAGCAGAGGATCTCGCGTTCTGGGGAGAGAACTCGGGAAAGGATCCCCGTCCTTCAAACAGCAAAGATCCGATTCGTACATCGTTCCCAGTCGAGATACTTCCGATGCCGCGGATTTTGCCACTGTCAGCCGAGATCGCTATCAACTATCGGTTTCCTCAGTTTGTAAACAAAGCCACCTAACAGTGGCGTGGAAGTGGTATTGATGACTCGCCTGAGCCGACCGCAGATTCAGAAGCGGTCGATTTGCTGCGGGAACACGCTCTGTCGATGTTGGAACGACCATTCTCGAATTCTCTGCTGTAAAGGTGGCGCCCGAAAATTCCGTGAGCTCGTAGATTGGTGGACTGATGGTTTCTGACCATCGAGCACAGCGTCTCCCAGAGTTTCGGATCAGAAGGGATGACATTCTCGGTCCTCCGAGTCGCGCTTTCCACATCGTGATAAAGGGAACAGATTATTCCCCGTCAACTTCAAAAGGCGGAACTGTTCTGGACTCGTTGTCGAGACTATCGAGTGGCGACAACGTTAGGGTCAGGTCAGACTGTGACTAAGGTTTCTTCCTTTTTCCAGGCGATGTCTACCTTAGAGACCTGATCATAAAGCCATCGGCATTGGACGACCTCAATTTACCGTTCCAGGTGACCTACGGCTTCATAAGTGGGTTACCGAGAGATGAGGCAATAAGAATTATTTACTCTGTCTCTGTACATATTAGAGCTCTCGACTCAATCGAATGGAACTCGACTCGGCATCAAACTCGAGAGGGCATGTCAGCTCAACATTCGCAGCTTCATTCCATCGGAAGCTCGACTCTGCAGATCACACAAGGACTAACAGTGCGCGATTAGTAATTTGGAGAGGTTCGGAACGTTTACGAGCGGAACACGAACCGGACTGCACCACCCAGCTGCCGGCCGATTTGGACCTACTCTACTGTTTCCTGGAAAATGTTTCCAATGAGTTCCAGGAGACTTTCATGGGTCGCCTCGCAACGCGGCTGCTTTATCAGACGTTGATGTTGAGTTTCCACTCGCGCGCCGCTACCAGTGATCATCTGTCGCTTCCAACTGGTATCGCTTCGCGGCTCGGCAATGAGCCGAAGTCACTTCGTCGCTTTGCTCCCGCGTCGAGTGTCGCCCCTCTCTTCTTCTCCCTGGTGATTTCGCGGAAGGATGACGTACGTCTAGCGCCTGATGCACTCTCTTGGACTCGAGCTTGGCGCGAGGAGCATTCTCCCGGTCCTCGATGCCTTGTCTCAGCGAAGGATTCATTCTGCACTGATCATTATCTTCCGCAGAGGAGGAGCGGAAAGCTTGTAATTGGATTCGACTGTCCGTGCGTCTATGGCTGCTTGCAGTGAAACTCGTTGTTATAAATCGTTTATTTAGAGCGGTCGCTTGGGAAGAGCTCAGAGTTCGTGCTTCCTCCAAGTCACTCGATCGCTCGCTCTGACGCTTTTCCTCCTACTGACTGAATGAGTTCAAGAGAAACGCACCAACTCAGCTACGCTCGGCTCTATCGGTTGACCCAAGAAACACAGGGTGTGGCTGAAAGCTCGGAAAGGTTGCGAACTATTTCGAACACACTCCGGCATACTAATGTGAGAATCGAGTCATTGGAGAACGATTGGTCACACTATCGCTTCCCGAGTTCACGGAGCACAACTGGCAATCGTTGAAGCGAGGTCGCGGCTTCTATTTGATTGGAATTGGACCAGGAAATATATCATCCCAGCGAAGTCCCGCTTGAATCCTCGCTCGTTCGGTGATGGGAGGAGATCTTCAGCGAACGCTCTGAATTCATCGGTGGTGCGGTCGGGTCCATACGAATCTCGCCGTTTTTTTTTCTGCAGAAAAACTCACTCTCAAGATACCATGGACGGATCTCTACGGAGCTCCTGCGGTCGCGTCCATCGACGGCGTGTACGCCGTCATTGTTCCCTCGACTTCGGCGAAATACGACGAGCAGGAAGAATTCAGGGCCAGTCAAGATTCGAAACAGAAAGCTCTGATGAGAGTAGAAGAACTCAGAGCCAGAGTACGTATCCGCTCGGATCGGACGGCATCGTTATCTGACCTCCGGGAGCGTCCGAACGATCGACCGCCTGCTCTACCACGCACCAGGAGCGGATCGAGCTCTTGCGGAGCTCAGTCAAGCAGAATATTTGAGTTTCCCTCATGAAGCCCCTCCCGTTTCACTAAGCAGGCCTGATCATTCGTTCCGGTTTTTCAGGAGCTCGAATTGAAGAATCCGTCAAAGAAGCCAGAGAAGGAGGATACGCTTGTCGAGAAAATTGTCGCTCAGGTTGTAAAAAACGTTCAAGTGAAAATCGCGAATATCCACTGCCGATATGAGGACTCGTTCACGGATCCAGCGAGACCTTTCTCTTTCAGCTTCACTCTGAGCAAACTCAACTTCGAGACGACCGAACGAAAACTGGAAAGATGGTTGACAGAAACGTGCATATCTTCCGGAAACTGGTTCTCCTGGACAGCTTCTCATTCTACTGGAACCCGAAAGTTCGTTTAATTTCTCATCTCAGTTCACGGGAAATCATGTCGGAGTTGATAGATACGATAGCGCGCGAAAACTCCGAGCCCCCCCGGGAACAAATACTGTGAGTGCGCGCATCAGGCGTCCGGGAAGCTGATTTACGATTATTCGCTGCCCCATCCGGACGAACTGTGGTCGCTCGCGCTAATTCTGGTCTGCCTCCCTTAGTGGCGGCACCCATAACGTCGACAGTTCGAATGCGGATAAACCAAAAGCCGGAGCGCGAATATTACGAGATGCCATCGATCACAATTGATATAACCATTGGAGACATCTCGATGAAAAAAACCAAAAATCAGTACCACGATATCATGGCTCTCATGGATTCGAAGAGGAGCACAGAAACTCGTAGAGGAGCTCGATTTGATCAAGATCATTCTTGCTCGGCGGCAAGCTGAAGTGGAAATCGCGAAACAACCGACGATCGAAGCTAAGAAGGGCTGGCTTGGCGGCTGGTGGGAAGGAGGAAGCGAAAAAGGTTTGTAGAATTTTTCTTCGTGGGGATCCTTCCAACGGAAATCGATGGAGCGGCTGCTTTCCGTTCACGGGGTCCAGCTACTTATGGCATTCCGTATCGGCAAAAGACTCTCCAATTGACTGCTGTGAGACTTGCTAGATGATTCACAAATTTTCCGCGGCTTTGACGCCACACAGAGAGATCCGCAACAGGTGAGGAGAGCACGAAGCGCGCAAATCCTGAAAATGCTCTGGGGGCGAGGGCTTCGACAGTTCAAGAATCGCCACTGGCTTGGGACGCATTGGGGAATACGCATTGGGAGGGAAATGATCCACTCGATCAGTCCAAGGAGATGGGGATCAAACCAGTTCTCGAGTGTGACGCCCCAATCTTTTCCAGCCGCGAATCCGATCGTGAAGAACTTCCAAAAAGAAATGACGGCCGATGAGAAAGCAAAGCTCTGCGCCGCAATAGACTACAACGTGAACCAGGTCCCTGCAGACTTCCCCATCACTTTCGTTGACAAGAAACTGAACTTCCTCCTGAAAACCCTCTCCATCAACATAGACGACGACAGCACCAAGTAAGTCTGTTTAGACTACCAATTTTGCGTAGTTGCTGTCCCGAACAATCCTTCTGCTCTCGCGGTGGCAAGTGTTCTAACGAATCGATGTCCCAGGATGAAGGGTACGAGGAGGCCGAATTATCCGCCAACGAAGCACCGGCTCCTGATACGAATTGGCTCCAGTTCATTTCGGGACTTCGTATTCTGTTAGATATCGAGGTCTACGTGTGCTACCACTATTGTGAGGCTCGGGAAAAACGAGTGTTTTTATTCATCTGCCGATTCCTTAAATACTAGAGAGGGGAGAGGGCTCAATCACTTCGGCCTCTCGGCCCGAATACAACATCCCTGCCCTTCAAGTCGAGGCCCCAAAGAATCGACTGAAGCCGGACAGGACCCTGTCCTTGGCAGCCCTCGCCGGCTGCTTGCGCCGACCGTCACTTGTGTCCTCACTGGGTTCCTGAGAAGCAGAACTTTCACCCTCGTCAGAGGGGCCAGCGAACTCCGTAGAAGAGACAGGAGAAAGACTCGATTCAGCTACGGACTGGGACGAGGATTCGGTCGCTACCGGGCTGCAATCTTGTCTCCGATCGGAAGCATTTGTCAGGAGCTCCTCGATGAAATGCTCTTGCAGCACCTCCTCCCCCAGCGCTTTACGCGAGTCTATTTTCCGCCGCCAAATTTGGTTGAGGTGACGGACATGGTCCGCGTCGTCGACCTTGAGCTTCGCCATTGACGAACCGAGGTACTCTGTGAAGATTGCAGGCACTCTTCGCCCGTTATGGAGTTCGATCACAACTTCTTCACCTTCCGAAAACTGCCGCGCGCACGTTCCGTGGTGGTCGTCGAACTGATGCTTGAACTTCGCACTAGCAGCCGGAAGGTTTGAGGAACCTGAACGGAACACACTGAAGTGGGTCCGCACCCTGCGTCCGAAAAACACCTCCGACGGAGCTTTGCCTCCCAGAGTTTGACAAGGCGTGTAGTTGTACGCCGCAACCGCCCGATCCAGAGCTTCCGGATCCTGGTCTTGGAGGGAGTTTTTCAACGTGTGAACCATCCGTTCCGCCTGGCCATTACTTTGTGGCATCCGTGGTGCACAACGCAGATGGACGATGTTAAAGGATTGACATAGGCTTGCAAATTCCCGTGACGTGAACTGACATCCATTGTCCGTCACCATTGTTTCTGGAGGACCCATGAGACGGAAGAGCGTTTTGAGATACTTAACCACCTCGAAGCTTGAAGCGGGTGACATCCACGTAGCATCGACGAACTTGGAAAACGCATCTACGATCACTAAAAACGCTTTGCCTTTCCGTGGTTCCGCGAAGTCCAGATGTACGCGCACCCAAGCCTTCTCGGGATCAGGCCATGGGGCCAACGGAACCTTCACCGGACTTGAAGCGTTCTGCGCACAGTGCGGGCAACTCCGAACCAGTCGTTCGATTTCTACCGACATTCCGGGCCAGTAGAAATACATGCGACCCAGAGCCTTCATTCGAACGATTCCGGGATGTCCTTGATGGAGCTGCTTGAGCACCGTGGTGCGAAGACTAGATGGGACGACGACTCTCTCGTCCACCAGTAAGGTGCCCTCCACGTCGCACAGGGAGTCCGCTTGTTGTGCGAAGGGTCGCAGGTTCGGATCCTTGCTGTCAGACTTGTTCCAACCCTGCAGTAATCTCTGAGAAACCTGCTGGAGCAGAGGGTCTTTCCTCGTTGCCTCGCGAATTTTCTCCCCGGTGTGAGTGAAAAATCGGGCGTCCGATGTCAAACTCAAGATTTCCAGCTCTTGTGCGTTGACATTCGCAATCACTTCATCCATTTCCGGATCAGCTGCATCTTTCCTTGCTTGCTGGATAAGTCGCGATAGGGCATCTGCGTGGCCGAAGTCCGCGGTACGAATGTACTCAATGTCGAAATCGTATCCCACCAGGCGTAGCGCCCACCGACGGAGCCTGGCAGCAGTTCGGTCACTCAAGCCTTTCGTCTGCGATGTACGGAACAATGCCAGCAGAGGGCGGTGATCGGTTTGGAGTACAAACCGTCGCCCCCAGATGAATTTTCTCAAACGTTCCACGGTCGTGATCAGTGCCAACGCTTCCTTCTCTATCTGACTGTAATTTCGTTGTGCAGGGTTGAGAGACTTCGAGATGTGGAAGACAGCTTTCGTAGAGGAGTCCGCATACCGTTGCAGAAGCACACCCCCGATTCCGGTTTCACATGCGTCCGCCGCCACGATTAACTTTTGTCGCGGGTCATAATGCGCCAGCACTAGAGGCCCAGAGAGAACATCTTTCACCTTTTCGAATGCCTGATCATGTGCCGGAGACCAAAGGAATTTGGTGTCTTTGCGTAGTAGTGCTTCGAAAACGGCTTTGTAGCGATGTAGACGGTCGACGAACCGACCATAGTAATTGATGAGTCCCAGAAGAGATCGGACTTCCGAAATGTTCTCCGGACGCCGGAGATTTCGGATCGCTTGGATTTTCTGCGGATCTGCCCGGATACCGTCTTTGTCCACGATTACGCCCAGATACTTGACGCTCGGAGCATTGAAATGACATTTCGCGAGACCGAGACGAAACCCCCATTCTTGCAGGCGGGACAGAACCTTGAGAAGTCTTCCGTCGTGTTCCGTTTGTGATGACCCCATCACCAGTATGTCGTCTAAATACACAAGAACACCATCGAGGCCTGCAAGTGTTTGATCCATGGCTCTTTGAAAGATCGCTGGAGCAGTTTTCAACCCGAAAACTAGGCGATTGTACTGGAAGAGCCCTCGGTGGGTATTGATGGTCGTCAGGTTTCTGCACGACGGGTTGAGTACTAACTGCAAGTACGCATCGGATAGATCTAACTGGGTGAAGACCCGGTTGCCAGAGAAACTCGCCATGATGCTTTCCATGTCTGGAATCGGGTGGCAAACATCACACAGGGCGTCGTTGAGCCCCGTTGAATAGTCCGCACACATGCGGATGTTTCCGTTGGCTTTCCGAACAACGACGATGGGCGATGCCCACTCTGACGTTTCCACGGGGGACAGAGTTTCGTTCTCTAGAAGTCGATCTAATTCCTTGTCAACCGCTTCCCTTATGGGT